TTTTCTTTCTTTTTTTTAAATATTTTATGTGTTTCTTGTGTTTTTATGTGTGAAGTGTGAATGTGTGTGTGAAAAGTGTACTACTACCGCACAAAAATTGCCCACATTGGGGCAAATATAAGCTACCAAACTTAACTGAAAGGAATCTACAAGAAGTTTTATTTTATAATCTCCAACATGGAAAAAAATCAATAAGGAATTAATAAAGCTGTCTATGCATTTCTTAACTACTATAACAGAGTAACAGCTGGCAAAGCTAAAGCAGGAGACCACCCTTCCTTATAGAACTCAGATAAGCACCCAGATTTGAGGACGAGGCTCCTCTGAGGCCACCTCGGAGTCTCCTGGCTGACCTCTAGCCCTGTCAAGAGGACCCTTAACTTTCCCTCTTGGAATCTGCATGAGCGGCAAGGCTGTAAACCGCAGGCCCGATGCCATGAAACTGAAGAAGCTGCTGAAAAGCCAAACCTGGCCTCAGACATACATCCTGCAGACAAGTGGCGGGGATCAACAGAGGCCACGCGGCACTCGAACCCTGTGATATTTGATCAGGCTTGACACATCTGTGTGCGCCGGTCCATCCTGCCTCACCTCCTTTGCCGGCACACCTCGCACCCACACCCTAGGGGGTGAAGATAAGTGGTCCCTTGCTATAAATATAAAAAGCGCTGTGAACGCTTGGAGAGAGCCAGAAAAGACCAGAAGGGTGAGAAAGATGGCAAGTAAGCACAGAAAGATAAACACCTGTTAATAAGGTGTCACATGTGAGGTCACGGAAAAAGGAACATTCAGCTTGGAGCTGCTGAAACATCCAAGTGCAAATGAGTCCAGTTCTTTAGTTTCAGCACCTTTTTTATCATGTCTCGACCCTTCTATATCTGTCCATCTGTCTCCTCGTCCTTATCCGCCCCTCCCCATCGCTCTCGCTGTTTTTCGAGGCAACAGGTGTGAGCACCGCCTTCACACACACGCTTACACACATGTGAAGGCCTTCTCTGGCCCTGCCATTCCCTCAGCAGAACCTGTGGCCAAAGCATGCAGAACATTTCCTTCTGTCTTACTGACTGCAGCGTCCTCACATTGAGGAGCAAAAATAGCGTGTGAAACTAGCAGGAGTGCAGCTCTCAAACAATCACCACAGTGAACAATGTGGGCAGTATTCTAGTCTTCTGTATTTCATTAAGGAGGAAGTTCAAGCAAGAAAATCACTCATTGGTGTGTTTGATTCAGTAAAAAGCCTATGGGCTCATCCAATAACACAGGCATTTACTCGCTGATGCATATTATGCTTTTATAGCTAACTGAAAATCCTACTAGGTTGCATATTTTACTAAGTACTTGCAGTGCCTTATACCTTTTATTGCATCCCTTGACCTTTGTCAGGTGCTGTCATGTTAGAACAGAAAAATTCAGCCTATATTTGGGAGGATTTTATTAATTGAATTAAGTCATGAAGTCACAAAAAAAAGCACCCATGGAGCTCCATCTGTTTTTCCAAGAAGAACATTTAACTGTGTTATGTTTGAGTACTGTAGCTCCTCTGGGCCAGTGCTTTGTTGCTGTATTTACATCTATGTCTCTTATTTGGAAATAAGCTCCAGTGAAATTTAATTATTTGGATAGTCTCTGTGGACATTAACTTTCAAATATTGCAGCTGTTTGTCAATTGGACTTTGACTAGCCCATTTAGAAAACATTTGATTCGAGCCACTCTGTTGTGGCTGAGGCTGTTTTTGCTTACTGCCCTGCTGGAAGAGGAACCTTTAGCCAAAAATTCAAGCCTTTTACGGCTTTTAGTTGTATTTGTTTTGAGGATTTTACTTTGTAACACACATCTTTTTATTATTTCCCTTTTTCATTGCCCATGGAAGAAAAACATCCAACAGAAACATACTGCCACCATTGTGTTACACTTTGGGGAAAGTATGTTTAGACGAATGTCTATTGTTATATTTTTACTATATGTTTATGACTGCAAATAATGCAACCGCATTATTTGCAGTCATTTACTTAATCGTAATTAGTTACTCTACACATTTGTTTTATGTCCTACCCTGCTCACATGAAACAATTGTGTTAAAGTAACTAAATATGATTAAGTAAATGCCAAAAGCGGTTGCATTATTTCTTTCAGTGAACATATATTGTTACCTGAACAGTGGATCCCTGCAGAATCTCCTCAATTTTTCTGAGATTTGTGTTCTTGACTTGCAGTAAAATTGGAGTAAAATTAGTTTTAAATCAAATGCAGTATTACATTTTTTTTTTTTTTTTTTTTTTTTTTTTTTTTTTTTTATTAAGCAAAGATTTGGGACATGCAAAGTTCTGACATGGGGCCAATTCCTGCTATGAACATCAACATACTGTCAGTGGAATCTCGGAGAAGGGAACAAGTTTAAGCAGATGAGCTTAAAACCATAAATTGGTTACTATTTATACTGGCTTTTTTATGTCACAACCAAGCAAAAACCCAAGGAAAAATGTTTTTATTTTTATTTTATGCTTATAAAATCAGGTTAGAATGTTTTTAAATTTTCCAGGCTGCAAATATTTTTGCTATGCGCTGCATAAGCAAGTGCTGTCTTGGAAACCAGACCATCTCTATCTGCACATATGTTCATCTTAGCTGCCAGTGAGAGACACTCTGTAGAGCGCACCAAGTGTTCCATGAAGGACAATAACGCATGAATGGCAATAGTGGATTTGGAGGGAAAAGTTGTGGTAAAAGTTTGGCGGCCACGTTGTGCGCGCGTTTCCCTTTCAGTCGCTAATGAGAATGATAATTTGTGGCTCCTCAGATGACCCCGACCTCCCCCTTCAATAGTGACTTCTCCCAAGGGACGAGATTGCGCACATCCCAAAGGTACTTCCAGCCCTCTGCAGGAATCCTTTTCATCACTAGAGAAGGATTCCCGCCTGTTTCTTTTTTTTTTATATAAAGCTTGAAAATTCTGTTTTTTTGTTGTTGTTTTTTTGTGGGTGAGCTAAGTGGTATTTAAAGTTTTGTGTGGAATGATGTTATTTTTTTCACCATATAACGCATTTAAACGTCTTTTATTTTATTTTTTTGCAGGCCTACTTTATGCAATCAATGTAAAATGACTCATATATCAATTTATTTTCATATGGGTTATTATGAAATATAACTTCCCAATTCAATCGTGTTCAGACCGCATGTTTACATCGCAGCAGTCGCACTTGGCGTCCACGCGTGCTCGTGTTCGCCTCCTCACCTCTGCAGGGTGACCCGGTCCGCCAGCGGGGATTTACTGGGTGGCGCTCTGCCAGGCCGCAGGCGGACTAGTTCGCTCGGTTCTCACGACCTCAGTTCCATAAAGGCATCTCTGAACTGTTAACTCAGACGCGAAGGAGGAGGAACAACCGCAGTACCCACACATGCTGCCAACTGGTGTTTCAGTATGCCTCCTCGCAAAAGGAAGCTGCTGAAGCGTCACTTGCTGCGGAGTTTCAGTAACTATGCCAGTTACTGCTGGTGTCATCTGCAGGGCACTGCATGCGCGCAGGAGGGTGACAGCCAGAAGATAATACATGAATTAACAACTCTAATCCAGCTGAAGAGAAACATAATAAAAAAGATCAAAACTATAGGTTGTGAAAAAAATAAAATCAGCACATGTTATTTCTAAATGTGAAACATTCAAATATGTAGAGATTTTTGGGTTAAAAATTGCTTACAGTTGCTTTCTGTTTTTTGTTGTTTTTTTTATATTAGGAAATATTTTTTGCTGAACACTATTGGAGACGTTTTGCGTCTAACTAAATAATTATAACGCACATTATGAAATGTCAATAGCATCTTATTGCAGCAATGGGAATTAAAAAATCCCCACATCAAAACGCTCCTATCAGCGGTCCTTCCCCAGGGGGGTGCGTTTTGACTCATAAACTTTACAAAACGTTTTTGGTATGTCTGTTGGTAAAATGTTTGTCACATTTGATCAAAGCACATCAAATACACAGGTGCATTAATAATGAATATTAATATTAATTATTATGTTATTATTACTACGGTTTCATAAAGTAAATAGCCAAATAGGCCTAAAAGCACACAATGTTTTTAAAGAAGCCCACAGCATGATGCTGCCATCCTGTTTTTATTGCATGAAATACTTTTAAAATGTGATATTATTACTAGTAATTATTATGATCTATTCTGCTTTTTCTGAACATTCCTAGTGTTTGGAATTTCAATCTAAATGTGTTGAACTTTGACAACCAGCCATGCGCACAGAAGCCGTTGCGCCGGTGGAGTATTAAATGCTAAGAGGTTTGGACCGGCAGAAACCAAAGCTGTAACCTTATCCCAAGTTAAGGGGCCTGCTGGCCGCCAGTGGCTGACATACGGCCAGCGCCACGCCACCGCCTGACGCAGAAATACTTTTCCTCTAGTTCCGGACCAAGATAGGTTTACGCATAGGTATAAACAGAAGGCTGGGAGACAAGTGGAGACTTTTCAGATCGCATAAACATGTGTAGGGTTCTCACCCTGTGAGAAAGAATTTAGTCATATTTCAAATCTCCCACATCCTGCAACAGCTTGTCTTTTCCGAAGCTTTATGCTCAATGGAAGAAAAAAAAAAAACTTCTCTCATTTGTGGAGACAGACACACTGGGAGCGGGTTCAAACAATTGATCCTTCCATATTCTTTCACCGAGGCAATCTGTTAGTGACATTAACCCCTGAGCGCATTTCCCAGGCTCATGAATAGAGTTTAAGACTTCTTAAACCTCCCGCTGCATACAGGATGAGACCCCTTTCAAACTTTTAATTACCTTTATGGCCAGAGAAAAATACACCCCTATTGTCCGAGGGGGGCATTCTCTAAGGGGATGTAGGGTGCTCCCGCCAAACGGGTGACATTTAACAGCTATAATCAGAAATATGCTTTTTGACTTTTTACGCATCACATGTAACTTTTACGCATGTCATTACATCTTAACCACATAAAAAAAAAGTAAGACTAAAGACATGTATTTCAAAAATCTCTTTTATTGAACCCTGGGTTACCACCCAAATTCATTTTTTAAACACAAAACAAAATATAAAACACAGCTTTGGTATAACAATCCATAACAGCTCTGTACAAAACTAAACCTTTTTATAAAAAGTACTTCTTAAAGGTCTCCTATAAATCTTCCGTCGGAACCTTTATCACCGACATCCAAATGTTGGAAATAATAAATTATATCGAAAGAAAACAACAACAAGGCATGCGCTGTTTTAAGCAACATCTGTTCCATAAAACGAAACAATCAGAACAAGTGGGGCTGTTAAAGTGGCCATCCTGTAGGGGGAAACTCGCAGGCAGAATCCTGCAATAAAAGTCTCAGATAAAAGCTTGATCTGGGAAAGTTTGATGCAAGTGTTTGGTCCCTTTTTTCTTTTTGGAGCTACCAAGGCCGCCACACTGCTTCACCGCTGTCCGCTCCAGCGTTCACCCCTACAGGGCTGACCACCTGGGGCCCCCCGGAGAAGGACGTCATCCCGTGCACTGGAGATGCTGCAGTCGGTGCGGAGCTGCCGTGCACCGGGCTGGCGTTCACAGCAACAGGCACCCCGGCGTTCGGGAAAAGTGGGATAACAGGAGCGGAGGTGGTGGAGGTGAAGGGCGGGTTGGGGATCAGAAAGGCAAACTGTCCATCTGTTGCGGGCACCAGCTGAAACCCACCAAACACCTTAGGAGAGACGGATTCAGCGGGACTGAGCTTGGAGTTGATGGGGAGAGTGGATGGCAGCTGCACATGGAGGGGCTGCGCCAGGTGCGCCGGCTGGGACGGAGCCTGCTGCGGGTAATTCACGGACATCATCTGACCCATGCAACTGGACAAGTGGCCGAGGAGCCGCGACCTAACCTCCGCATTAACCCCCTCTGAAGTGGACAGGAAGCGGGTCACCTCGTTCATGCACTCGTTGAATCCGGCTCTGTATTTGCTCATCACTGTTGCATCTGCAGAGAGCGCAGCTGTTGGAGAGAGAGGCGAAGAAAGCAGGGGATTAGTGACGTGTTTGTGGCCAAGTCTTTGCAAAATGTGCGGTTTAATAAAGTATCATAACTCATGAGAAAGTATATGTAAACTTACCGCTCATCTGCATGCGCTGCAGGTTCCTTAAGTGCTTCACCGTCATCTCCAGGATGTCTGCCTTTTCCAACTTGGAGTGTCTGGAGCTCTGGATAGGGGGACAGGGAGAGTTTAGCCTACATGCATGCAGATATATCAACCAATAAAAAAGACTTGATTGAACTTACATCTTTCTTAAGTGCGTCCAGGATGAGGGTCTTCAGCTGAGAAAGGCTTTCGTTAATTCTTGCTCTCCGACGTTTTTCCATAATGGGTTTAGATGACTGTAAAAACAATCAAGACAGTCGTTCGTAAATGTTTCTGTGACTCAGCACTGGTCTTTAAATGAGATGACAGTTGTATAAAAAACATCGACACTTACCTTTCTGTGCTCGCTTGCATTTTTTGGCTTGTCCGGTGTGTGGGATCCGTTGGCAGGAGCTCCAGCGATGGGAGATGCCGTCTGCTTTTCCATAGTGTCAGCTGGCATTATGGATCACAGCAGGGTCAAGATAATTCAAATACAACCACGTGGGGAAAAAAGTAAATCCTCTCAGTGAAAGATAAGAAACAGCAACAATCACTTCGGAATATGAAAAATCCGAATGAACTGTCCCGCTCGTTATGGCCGAGCTGTCATCCAAGAAGCAGAGTGCGTTTAAACCGTGCGTGGCGCAGTGCGCAGCTACCTCTCTACGCCTTGTGCCGCCGACACGCGCTGCTGCGGTACTTATAGGCGGGTCGCGTGCTCCCAGTTCGTGTGAAACCCTCTCTGCATTCTTTCCCACACTCGCCTCAGCCAATAGCAGAGAGGACTCACCCTTTGGGCGCGGGGCAGACCGCTGATTGGACAACACCCCCGCGGGCCGTCAGTCACGCGCTGCTCAATCAGCCCTGCGGGGACAAACAACAAAGCGAGAGCGGAGCCGGCTGCTGAAGTGATAAGGAGGGGGGAATTCGTTGGATGTTTGCCTCCAACTTTGCTCCTTACTCGTCAAAAATGTTAAAAGCGTATAACTGTTTGAGTGTTTTGTTTTTTTTTTTGTTTTTTTTGTGCGAAAAGAATTCAGTTTATATTTTTTACAAGTCTAAATTTATTTAAAATCAAATAAATAATCAGCTGAGCATGTACTATTTACATAAGAAATAGCCTACTGCTTTCTATTGGATACTTATCTCATTTATTTATTTTATTCAAAACTCTGTTTAATTAATAAATCAATCTAAATTTGAAAACGAATGCGCTTTCCATCTATTTTAAGAATCCTCATGCGCCTCCAAGGAGATGTCAGTAATGGCACGCGAGGCGGGTCCGCAGCAGCACGCTCCAAGCCAATGGCGCGCGGCCACTTTACACAAATGAGGCAGCGCGCTCTCTGATTGGCTGCGCCGCCACCTCTGTGTCAATCATCCTGGAGCGGGAGCTGCTCAAAGAGGTGGGGGAGAGAGAGGGCCACATCTGTCCGCGTGCCATTCGCGCAAGCTCTCTTCTACGGTTTGCGCGGAGCACGTGCCAAAACTCGAAGATTACAGAGCAAGGAACTTTAAAAACCCAATATAGTAGTATGGACACTTTTCAATTATGGAGAATAGAATAGAATAGAATAGAATAGAATAGAATAGAATAGAATAGAATAGAAAAGAATAGAATAACTGCAGTCTGAGCTGATGTATTGTTTTATTATAAGAGATTTCGCTCCTCTGATAATAAGATGAAATTATACAACTGATGTTAAAGGTTCATGCCGTTTTTACACATAAAGTCTCTATTTAGATCTATTTGTGAAAAGGAACGTGAATCAGTGAATTAAATACTTAGTAATATCCATCAACAGGTTTAAACTTTTCTCTCTCAATCTTTTCCCAGCAGAAGAGTCTGTGTTTAAATCAAGAGAAGGAGGAGGACGCCATCTAGTGACACTAATCAACAAGGAGACAACAGATATTCATCCGTTTAAACGTAAAATAAGATAAAAACAGCACAAATGTTGACTTTGTATTTGGTCTGAAATCTTCTTTTAAGTATAACATGATTTGATAGCATATTTGTTTGTGGTTGTTTTTATAGACATATGCAAATTGTAAAGTTTACTTTTTTCAGGGTCCATTCTTTTTCATTTTTGCTTTTTGAATAACTTTTATCTTTTTACTGACTTTTACTTCATTTTCATTATCCCCTTGCAAATTTAATGCATCACACGAGGATCTAAAATAAGATTTAACATCTAATTCCGACCTTTATTTTCAAACCGCCACAAGGTGGCGCTTCCCTGTCCGCTCTAAAATATTAAGTATTATTTGGACTTCCTTACATTCCTAATACTTGTCTGGTTATCAGAATGATCCCCTTATGTTTAGAATTCACTATTCTAAAAATCAGATATTTTGAGAAATATAAAAATGCTTTAAATACATTTCTGTAAAATTTTAATATTTACTGACTACCACTTAAATGATATTTAATTTACTTTTGTGTGCTAAACTGGAAAAACAAATGGGCTACAAAGAAAATCAGAATGATCACTTGTTATAAATATACAGTTTGGTGCGTACATTTTCTTTGTTGCTTTGTCATTTCACAGTGGTAAAACTAGGATATATTTCTAATAAATGCCCATAGACCGTTGGAGATTGGATAAGGGAAAAAGATGGATAGATAAAGTTTAATGGCCATAGAGTCAGATATATGAGGAAAAACATGACAATTAAGTTTTAAAAACAATTGAGTTAAATCTGAAGTAGTCAGAAAAGTTTCTATATGGTGTGATTGTAGATGAACAGAATGTGAGATCTTAGCTATTTTAACAGGAATTATCAAAACTAAAGAAATTCCATCCATTAAAGGTACTTGCAGGGTAACTTAGGAGAAAGCTCTCCAACACTAAACATCTAATCTCTGCAGTAGTAAACAGACAACAATATCAGATATCTAAGAAACCCTTATGGTTTTTATCAAGACATAACTCTGTTTGGAATTTGGTAGAAGATTCATATTTTTGGAGAACCACACTCATAAAGCCCCATTTACACTGCCCTCTGAAAACCGATCCGTGCCGACTTTGGATCAGTGCTGGGCTCGGTTCCTTATGACCATTTACACACCATTCTAGCACGGTTCCTTGCCTCCTAGTGATGATCTACGGTGCAACTGCTCTCTAGAGGTGAACAAGCAAACAACATGGAGGCGCCCATTCGGGAAGTTTGCACGGTTGTAAAAGGGTAAAAGGGGTTATATCCCGCAAGGTCCAGAACTGGTGCCTTCTTTGATAGATTGAATCTGTCATGGTTTAGGTTTTGTCCAAGTTTTATTTTGAGTTTTCATTGGTCTTATTTTTTATTCTTGTGTTGTAGTTATTTTTGATTATATTTGAGTTCTTAGATATTTCCTGTTTGCCCTCTTGTGTCAGTCTCCTTTTCCCTAGCTCCCTTCTTGCCTCTGTTCACACCTGCTCCCAATCTGCTAATTAGCCTGGTCTTTGTTTCTCTCTCCCATATAATCTGCTCCTGTTCAGTCACTCTTTGCTGGTTTGTCGTCATTACTTTGTCCCCTTCTTGTTGTGAGTATTCTTGGATTTCAGCAATTTTGGATTTTTGCCTCTATTAACCTTTTTATTATTAAACATTCAAGTAACCACGTCAAGCTTTTTGTCTGTATCTGCGTCCTGTCAAACCACCCCCTTTGTGACAGAATCCTGTTCCATATGGATGCAAAGAAAAAAATAAATGAAAACAAAGATTAAAGCTTCATAACCAGTGGATCACTACTGTGGCAAGAGATGAGGGACTATAACACACATCAGTTTTAAAAGTATAAAAAGCTGTCTGACTAAAGGGCTTGTCTTGCTTGTCACGTGCCTAAACTTTGTAGTAGTAATACAAGAAATAATCAGAAAATAATTTATGACTTTTGTTTTTTCTTTCCAGGCAGCTGTTATCAGGAGGGAGACTAGTGAGGAAATTTACAAGGACAATCTAAGAAGGATTTCTTTAGCAATCAAAGTGAGTGAGAGAGCAGAACACCGGAAGTTAGACCATGGGAGCTGATTCCTCTGTAGAGTAAGAAAGCAAAGGTAAGAGGTCTGAACTAAGTGGTAGTTAAAAAAAAAAAAAAAGGCAAGTTAGATTACTATGGCTGAGAGCAAAACAATCTGGCATCTGCTGCAGGGAATTTGCCCTCCTAAGCTTTTCCAGATTAGGCCTGATCGTTTGCAGCCGTAGGACAATACCTACCATTCACATCAGGCACATCTGTGGATATGACATTTACTGTATCGACAAAATAATAACCCCTTCAGTTTGAAACTAAATTATTATATGATATGCTGTCAATAAACAATAACAATATAACCCAATTTTGAGTGGGTACCTTTGGTTCTGACCGGTTTTTAACTTTCTGTCACAACCCAACTGGTTTTGTTTTCATCTGTGTTATCATCTTGATATTAATAATTACTAGGAGTTGGTTAGCTCTCTGCTGTGCTCACTATTCTTAGTATTGTGAATTTCTATTAGATTATTTCTCTCTACCAGCTTCTCCTCATCTTTACTCACTGCTCTGCCTTCTCTCCATCTCAGCTGTAACTCTTTGCTTTGACAAACCTTTCTAGATTGCCTGTCGTTTCTCTGTAAGTGTTCAACACTGGTTCTTAATATTTGAAACCGGGTCCTTTGTTACAATTGTTATTCATGCCTTCCAGTCCAGTTATGTCTATGCTTCAAACTTCATTCTTCTTGTAATTTTTTTTATTTTTGTAATTAATCCTAACTCCCTCTGCTGTCTCCTGTCCGGCTCGTACCGTCACATTCTCAGAAGCAGCGCTGGCTTCTTGTCCATGATCTGTCTGTCTGGGCTGGAACGGTCATTAGCCCAGACTCACAGGAGATTACTCTGAGGCTTGAAGGTCAAATTCATAACTATTTTTTTTTTACAAACTGAAATAAACGTTCTTGTTGAAAATGTATAGAATATAGCAATGAATAAAGATATCAAACAACACCAGTTTTATTTAAACTAGTAAAGATGGAATACAACCTTTTGGTTCTGTTTCTTTTTATTCTATCCTGTGGCTCAGTTTTTTCTGCCTCTTCATACAACAAGGAGCAGGAAGCAGTTGGAGAAGTTTCCCATTTTGGGGGAATGTACTGGAATATTTGTGTACTTTTTGAGAGCTGGGGTCTGTTTCACAAAGCAGGTTTATTTAACACATTCAGATTCAATTTCACAACTCTAAATTTATGTATCCCAAAAGTGTGAACTTTGAGCGTTCGGTTCCACAACACTGTTATCAAATAGTTCAATAAATTTTAACTAGGTCCACTCAGAGGTAAGTGCATGCACAACAATATTTACCCTATCTTATTTCACCCCACTGGAACTAGAGATTTTAATGTAGAAATGTAAAAAATAAATAAAAGAATGTGTTTAAAAGACAAACGGCGCTACAGCTGCTAAGGAGAGGAAAATGGTGAAGGACAAGATTGTTGCTTTACTAATTCGTAAGTTTATATAAAGTGGGCTATGGCGGGCAGTTTTTACATTTATTAAAAGCATTCCACTTTTGTTCCATTTGTAAATCACTAAAATAAGATTCTTGCTGATCAAAATCACACTCCTAGACCTAACTGTAATGTATTTTCCAAATTACATTTTTATAGCAGAAACAGAATTTTAAAAAGCAAAAAACAAAATTATACTGGTAAGATTTAAATTCTATATAT